TGTGAGGAAGATCAGCCCTGAGCTAACATCCATGCCAATCCTCCTCTTTTTGCTGAGGAAGACCGGCTCTGAGCTAACATCTACTGCCAATCCTCCTCCTTTTTTTCCCCCCCAAAGCCCCAGTAGATAGTTGTATGTCATAGCTGCACATCCTTCTAGTTGCTGTATGTGGGACTAGGCCTCAGCATGGCCGGAGAAGCAGTGCATCGGTGCGCGCCTGGGATCCGACCCCACTAAGCCACGGGGCCAGCCCCTCATTTTTTTCTTTTAACAAGTTTACAGAAGATTGAACAGTGCTATTGAGTTTATTCATACAGTCTGCACGTCCAGTTTTAATTAAAACAAAATTCAACATCATAATATTTTAGCTTGATGAGAAGTTGTTTTTGAAATATGCAAAATATATGTGGTTTTAGTCAATTGGGAAATTGTGTTTTGATGTGTTTATTGTTTTCACATGAAAAATAGGAAAAAATGCCTTTAGTAGTTATGGAGCAAGGTCAGATATTAATTGTGGTATCTCGTAAACTTTTCCAAATGACCTCAGTTTGGAAGAAAATTTACTAGAGAAACGTTATAAAGGTCGCTTAGAGAATGTTGGACGAGAGGTAAATTACAGCCCTCGTAATATAATGGGGTGGTGTGGGGCTCAGGCCGTGGAGGCCTAAGCAACACTGATCCATGGGCACCAGCACAGATCATTTTATACAGGGGAAAGTGATTAGCCAAGGTATTACAAACTAATCCCAAATACATTTTGAGTTCGCATTTGGAGAAATTTGAATTAGACTGATAAAATTAAAAATAAAAGTTAAAATTGTTCAAGATCATTTACTACCTAGTACCTTCAATTTGTTGCAGAATTAAAAGAGATTAAAAATCGGAATCTTAACCTTAAGAGCCTTAATCTCCAACTATTGTTTTGTTGTGGGAAGGGGGATACAATTTACAAATAATGAAATGTACAGGTCTAAATCCATACTAGACTGTATCAGATTTTATTTTATTTTTTCCCCCCAAAGCCCCAGTGGATAGTTGTGTGTCGTAGCTGCACATCCTTCTAGTTGCTGTATGTGGGACTCGGCCTCAGGATGAACGGAGAAGTGGTGCCTCGATGCGCACCCGGGATCTGAACCCGGGCCACCAGCATCGCAGTGCGCGCACTTAACCACCAAGCCACAGGGCCGGCCCTAGACTGTATCAGACCTGACAAATGCATGCACTCCTCAACCGTACTCCTGTTCTGCCGTTACAGTTTTCCTTATTCGTAAATCCGTGTGGATGGAATCATGGCATGTACTCGCAGCATGCTGTTTTAGAACGCATCCATCTTAGTGCTGCATCAGTAGTTTGTTCCTTTTCATTGCTGTGCGGTACTGTTTGAATATACCACAGTCTGGGTGTCCACATCTCTGTTCATGGACCCCTGGGCTGTTTTGGGTTTGGGCTGCTATGAATAAAACTGCTACAGATATTCTTGCCCAGGGGTTTTATTGTGGACACATTTTCATTTCTCTTTGATTAAATAGGAGTAGAACTGCTAGGTCATAGGATAGATGTATATTTAACTTTTTAAGAAACTGCCTGACAGTTTTCCAAAGTGATTGTACCATGTTCCATTCCTGCCAGCAGTATATGCGAGTCCTGGTTGCTTCACATTCTTGCCAGCGTTCCGTGTTGGCCATCGTTTTCGTTTTAGCCCTTCTCGTTGGCGATGTGGCGGTATCTCCTGGTGGTTTAATTTGCATTTCCCTGATGACGATTTCCTGTGCTTGTTGAACCATTCTTTTGTCCTTTTTTTCTTGTTAATTGGATAGTGAGTTGTGGGAGTCCTTTATGTATTCTGGATACACAAGTCCTTTGTCAGATTTATGTGTCACGAACCTTTTTTTCCCCACTCTGTGGCTTGTCTACATATTTTCTCAACAGTATCTTTTGATGAGGTGGTTTTAATTTTGATGAAGTCCACTTTATCAATTTTTGTTTTACAGTTAATACTTTCTATATCCTCTTTAAGAAGTCCTTACCTGTCCCAAAGTCATGAAGATATTATCTTTTTTTTTTTTTTTTCTTTTTTAGCTTTATAGTTCAGCTTTTATGTGTAGATCCGTGATCCACTTTGAATTTTTTTTTTTTTTTTCGGTGTTAGGTAGGGGTCAAGTATCTTTGTTTTCCATATGAATATTCAGTTGTTCCAGTGCCATTTGTCAAAGAGATTTTCCTTTCCCCATTGAATTGTTTTGGTGTCCTTGTCTAAAATCATTTGACCGTATATCTGTGGATCTACTTCTGCACACTCTTCTGTTCCATTCGTATGTTTGTTTAGCCTTTGGTCAGAACTTTGTAAGTCTTGATGTCAAGTAAAATAGGACTTCCAGTTCCTCCTTTTTTCAAGATTATGTTGTTTATTCCAGGTCCTTTGCATTTCCAAATCGATTTTAGAGCTGGCCTGTCAATGTCTACCAAAATTACCCCCTAGAAATGCTCATTGGGATTTTGATTGAGATTCATTGAATCTATGGATTAATTTGACATTTTAACAATGAGTCTTCCAATCCATAAACATATTATGTTTCCATTTATTTCATTTTAATTTTGCTCAGCATTGTTTTATGTTTTTCAGTGTGGAGAAACACATCCTTTGTTAACTTTATCCCTATGTATTTTGTTATTTGATGCTGTTGTTTTGGATACTCTTCGTTTTTCAGTTTTGTGTTTTGATATTCCAGATCATCCAATGGTCATTTTTCAGTTCAT